TTTTTTAAAACGCCAAAAATCCGGACTGTCCCGCCAAAAGCAGGACGTCTGGTCACCTTTAATATCATCCACGCTCATTGTCTTCAGTATTTCTAGTCTTTCTTCTGAGTCTAGGAGGTGCTCAGTTCAAAGATTCCAGTTTTTTTGGTACAAAGAAAAGATTCTGTCCCAGAATTTTTCTTACCCCCACCTTCACTTTTTATTGCAAATTGGTTGAAGATTTATAGAACTGGTCTGTTTTCCATTCAACAATTCATATGCATTCTGCATCATCTCATTGATTGCAATCTCCTCAATGTAACATGACTTATCCCACTTCTTCCCTGTATGTTCTGTTTTCATTTTTGTCTTCTTATCAACTTTGTTCTTGTGTAAATATTGCCCTTTGATCTCAAAGGATTGACTATATAAGGTGTGGGCACCCCTCTAGTGCTATTGTTTTCTTTAGAGACATGTCCATTATTTGACAGAAAATTGAGCCATGGGGTGAATTTTTTTTCCCAGACTTGAGGGGTGACTATGGGCTATAATCTCAAGGGTTCCATCACTCTCTGAGTAGTAAACTTGGTCTTTTTTATGGTTTTGAGTCTTGTTCTACATTTTCTCCCACTCTATCCAGGACCTTCTAATGCAGTGGTTCTCAACCTTCCTAATGCTGCGACCCTTTAATACAGTTCCTCATGTTGTGGTGACCTAAAGCACAAAATTATTTTCCTTGCTACTTCATAACTGTAATTTTGCTACTACTATGAATCAGGTGGCCCCTGTGAAAGGGTCGTTCAACCCTTAAAGGGGTCATGACTCACAGGTTGAGAACTGCTGTTCTAATGTGATACGTTTCAGAGTAGTTGATTCCGGGCACTGTCTAGTTCCTCTGGTCTCACGGTTGTGGAAACTGATGTCTGCAAGATCCATTATTAGTTCATGGGGTTAATAATTTCCATGAGGCTTCATCTCCAGTCAGGTAAAAACGCAATAATTACACCTTATATGGCTGCTAACACCCTAGTCCAGAGCCTTCTGGATGATAGTGATATCTCCCTGAAACTGTGGGATTGGCCCTGTGGCAGTTACATAGTTTCCTGTCAACTTGTGAAGGGGTGGAGTCTAGCCTTTCATCAAGTTGCAGCTTGATGACCTCATTTGGATGCGCTACAGAGATAAATAGCTCGATGGAGGTGGGACACACATATACTCTCTGCTTCGTCTTCCTGCTGACAAGACACATGGAGCTACGCTAGAGCCCTGGAACTGGAAGAGCCACAAGGAGACCCTGCCAGTGCGGAGATGTTTCCATCACCACTGGATTCACAAGACTTCCCATCCGCTGGCCTGTGATCTTCCTGCATTTGGCGTCATTACATGGGTTATATGAGTCTAAAGAGGAATTTATGGATTCGAATTGGACATATGGGCTAATATTGGACTTGTGGACTTGACCTGGACTGGGCTGGGGTGTTTTCTCAATATACAATTGCTCTTTTAGATAAAGCTCTTTCTTATACACATATGAGTGTCTCTGGATTTGTTTCTCTAGTCAACCCAGACTAACATAGCCCTCCTCAAGGCCTACTACTTGCTAATCAAAGTATGGTCTTCTAAGTAGAACCCAAACCTGACCAATCAACTTGGTAGACCATAAGTCAATTTTCATAGTCCCAGCCCACCATTTTCTGGGTCATATAAAAGTGATTCATTGTACCACAGTAGCAATGTTAGATAAGTCACAATGGAGTCAATTTCATTGTGAGACTGAATGATAGTATATATGGTTTTTAATTTGAGTCCTACAATTTAACAGAAGAGATAAGAAAGACTGGAAACTAAGTAAAAAAAGTACTGCTATAATATCATTAAAGCCTTTATTAAATAGGAACATGAAAATGCGGAGCTATTGTGTGTGTTTTTGACATATCCTCCATCCAGGTCTATATACTTCTGAAAGTAGTCTTTCTGTCTCTCTATCACTTCCTCGTGACTGAAACCAACCAGCAAAACCAATGTCTTGCTCATAGCATATGTCTTTTTTCCCCACAACACAAAAAGTGACTATATACCTGAACTTCCCCAGAAGGAATGCACAGAAATCAAGTTGACTACATCTATGGGAAGACACAATAGAAAAGCTCGATATCAGCAGCTCAAACCAGGCCAGTGACCAATTGTGAAACAGGCCATCCATTACTCATGCCTCAGTTCAGGATAAAGCTGAAGAAAATTAAAACATGGTTAGAAAAGCCAAAATATGGCCTTGGGTCGATTCCACCTGCATTTCAAGCACAGAGTTGATGCCTTGAACACTAATGACAGGAGACCTGTTGAGCTGTGGGAGGACATCAAGAGCACATGGACATGATCCAGAGAGACCCTTCTCTAGAGAAGCACATCATGCTTGGGAAAGTGGAGGGGCAGAGAAGAGCGGAAGGCCCGCACCAAGGTGGATTGACACAGCGGCTGCCTCCACGGGCTCAGGCATAGGAACGACAGTAAGGATGGCACCGGACCATACAGTGTTTTGTTTGGTGGAGGACGAGGTCGCTGTGCACAGCAGCTGGCTCGGTGGCATCTACCAACAGCAACAACGCTTCCTCGTAGAAGTTTGCCATCTTAGAGTTACACTATGCCGAGATGACAGCACCTCAGGGAGCGCTGCTTTCCAATGTTCTTTGAGCTTTGGGGACAGAGAGAGGTCTGAAGGGGCACAACCAGGGATATAGGGTAAATGGGGTGAGGGTTCTCAACCATTGCTTGTAGGAAAACCCTTGCTGCCTTCAAAGGTGGAGTAGGTGCACCGTTCTGATGAGAAAGCAAGTTCCTCAGGGCAACTCTCCGGACCTTTGTTTCCATGAAGGCAGTCTTCAATCTGATCGTCCGATGCCCTTGGAGAGGGTCTGTCGAGATGAGCCCTGCAGAATGCCCGCAAACGGTTACCACCTCCTTCTGACCTGTCCTCTCTGTCTGATTGTAACAGACTGCACATTTCCTCAGCAGCCACTGTTTTCAACTTTCTTTGGGGGGGGGGGGGGGAGAGACCCTAAAGAGATCAAGACAAGGGTATTAAGAAGAGAACTTGTCTGCAGCCATCCACGGATTGCAAAGGCAGGTTTAAACACACACACACACACACACACCCTTGCTGCACGTATGAACTAGAACCTTTGTAGTCACATTTATTGCCTTACGCATTTCAGGGGCATAGAAACGAGTCGCTGTCGGTTGCCACTGAGTCCGCTCTGATTCATGGAGACCTTATGTGTCACAGAGAAAAAGTCCCCGCTTGGTTCTGCCCCATCATCACCATGATTGTTCATTGGAACCTGCTGCTGTGGCTGTGGTGTCGATCCATCTCTTTAAGAGTTTCCCTCTTTCGTGCGGACTCCCTCACAAACACAATGTCTTTTTCTAAAATGAATTTTTAGAAACGATGACTGGACCAATGTAAGCACGGTGAAGTCTCTTCGTTCCGGTTTTAGTTCAACAAAGAATGTGGTTGTTAAATGCCTCTGAGTTGGTTCCAGCTCATAGCACAACAGAACGGACCGAACGCAGTACCATCCTCTTGATCATTGTCGATTGTTGCAGCTATTGGGTCAATCAATTGATCTCCTTGAGGGGCTTCCCGTTTTCATGGACCCCGTGCTTTAGCAAGCCTTATGTGCTTCCCTGCAGACCGGTTCCTTCATATGACATGCCCACCAGAGGGGAGACAAGTCTCACCACCCTCACTTGTGAGAAGCATCCTTGCAAAGGCAGATGGTTCCTTCTTCAGGCAGTCCATGGACTATTTATTGTATTTTTCGCCAAGGTAATAATTCAAAAGTATAAATTCTGCGCTGTTCTTCCTAATTTATTGTCCAGCTTTCACATGCATATAAGGTGATTGAAAGACTGTGACTTGGGTCAGGTGCCCCTTAATCTTAAAAGTGATATCCTTGCTTTATGGCACTTTGCAGAAGTCTTTGGCAGCAGCATTGCCCAATGTAATACATCATGTGATTGCTTGACTGCTGTTTCCGTGGGTGTTGACTTTGGACCTCAGCGAGACAAAATCCTGATGCCTTTAATACTTCCCCTGTTAATTATGATGTTTATTCTTTCAGTTATGAGTCCTTCTGTTTTCTTCAGGTTGAGGCATAATCCATACAAAGGTTGTAGTCTTTGATCTTCATCAGTAACAAGTTCAAGTTTTCTTTGCTTTCAGCATGTAAGCTTGTTAACGAGTCTTCCTCCAATCCCAATGTCACATTTTTCTCAGATGAGAATACAATTTCTCAGGTTATCTGCTCAGCATACGGACTGAACACACATGGTGAAAGGATACGACCTTGATTCAAACACAGTAGACCTGCATGATTCCACCCGCGTTTGATGCTGGCTGTGTGGAGCCGTCACGTGGGTCAGCGGAGTCCCGACGCACGGCGCATCAGCCAGATGCAACATCTCCATCACAGTCAGGAGGGTGGTAAACTCTGCAGCGTGCTGGTTCCGAGCAAAACTAAAGGGCGTGCTGGTTCCGAGCAAAACAAAAGGACTCAGACCACGACTGTCAGTTAAAATTGCCACCGAAATCCCTTTGTTGTTGTTTGTTTTCCAGGGGTGGGGCATTTACAGTGTCTTATACAAGAACCAAGAGTAGATATAAGTGATAAAGAGATTTGGATGACAGTAGGATTGGTTATTGGTAACTGACCATGTCGAATTTAAATGATCTCATAACCAGATCTTAGGATGGTGTCTTGGTCCAGGTGGGAGACATCTGCAAGGTCAGGGATGTAAGGATCAAGGCATGAAGTCTAGGATTCTAGACAAGGAGGGAAAAGGGCAAAATCTAAACCAACACCTAGAGGATTGTTCGATGGGTTTTGAAAGAGGGCAGAATCATATCTGCAGTGAGTGAATGTGCACATGGGAAACAAAGCAGAATAACAAATGAGTCCCTCCTTCTGAGAGGAATCTAAGGAAGAGGCTCAGGTCTCACCTACTCCCTTAAAAGTCAGTGGAGGAGAGTGGCATGGCCCAAAGCCAGAAGGTCTAAACCACCGAGAGGATTATTTGTCCTGTCAGTCAATAAGAGTCAGCAACCTCCCCCAGATGACAGTCATATTTATCACCTGAAAAAGCAGTAGTATTTTTAAAATCGTGTTTGAAATTCTGAAATATTTTAAATCCATTTAGAATCAATCCAACTCAGAAAAAGAGGATGCAAATTTGAAAATCATGCCATTGTAGCTCTTTAATAACTATGCAAGAGGCAGGAAAATGGTTAGGCAGTGGCTGTTAGAATGAATAATGCTATTAAATGAAATAAAAAAAAGCAAATCCATATAGGTTTATTGGATTGGAAGTAAGAGACAGAGAGAGGCTCAACATTGCCAGAATTTGATTAGGGAATAAAATCTCAGACAGAGAAATGATGGATGGTGTGAGCTGATTAACTGGAGTTCTGTTGAGAGGTTAATGTCCACAGAGAATATGCATTGCAAAGTGTGGGAGCTTGAGGGCGTCCAGGCATGTAGTTGAGACCTTTATTTGTACAGATAAGAAAACTGAGGCTTAAAAAGTAAACGACGTGACACATGTCCTGCAGCTAACTAGGGACAGAGCTTGTTCCAAAGTTTGAGGCAACTGGATTCATCACAGTGGTTAGCCCATTGACAGGCCTCCCTTCAAGAAGTGCTCAATAAATATTAATCAGGCTATCCTAGTCACTTTTCCCTTCCATCCAAAGCTCTGCCACGTTGTCAGGTGTTTGGTGGTCCAGTCCGTCCCAGTAGGACAGTAGCTGTTATCATGTAAAATTGATGTACCAGCCTTCATCCTTCACTCTTTGCAGTGTGAGTTAGGACCTTGAACTGGGTCTTGGCGTCCCTGGTTTTCAAATGAAGCTCTCCATCTCCAAGTCAACTCATTAGGCGTGACTGTACGTGTCTCTGCCTAGCAGATCCACAGTGCGCCTGCGCTGCTGCGCACTCCAACAGAAAGTGTGGCAAGCAGAGCCATTTAACCTCCCCTCGATCACCATGGCCAGGCTGCTTTTCTAAAGGTCAGAGTTGTCACTTCTCCACAGTCTCAAGTCAGGTTGTGGTTGCCTTAAGGTTTTATTTTACACATGGAATCAGGACTAAATTCAGAATCTTCTAAAAAATTAATTTCCTGAGGGACCAGACTTCAACCGGGTGCTCCAAGATGTGAATGCAACATGCCAGCATGGAGTAGGGAACCAGTGGAGAGGTCTGAGGGGCCGGCCCCAATCCCAACTACGTGGACACCTGCCCCTCCCTGCAGAAGAATTTATTTCAGATGACAGCACTGAAGCTGCAGCTCAGGGAGAGGGACATGTCAGTTCAGAGCACATGGGAGCAAATAAAGGGGGCGGAAGAGAGAGTGGAGCACATCCTGGTCCACCAGAGCAGCCAATCCACAGAGAAGACCATATGGCTGGCTCCATTATGAGATACAACATCCCTCACTGACCCATAGCCTTACAGGGGACAACACTGGAGACACAGTGTGGGAATTCTGCCTGATCTGATCCCACCACACCGAGGCAAAACACTAAGGGCATGCAACACAACAGCAAGGGTAGCAGAGCAATGAAGTCCCCATGGAATACCAAAAATAGACTTCAGGGCCAGGGCTTGGCACCCCAACAGACTAGACCAGAAAACACTCCTAAAGACCAACACACAGTCCTTGAACTAACTACAGGCTTTTCTTTTTTGTTGTTGTTGTTTTTTGTTTTGTCATTGGCTTTTTGTTGTTGATGATGTTTTGTTGTCTTTGTCACTTTGTTTGGCCTGTCTTGTTTTTATGTGCATATTATTATCTCTGCAGGTCTATCTAAATAAGATAGGCTGGATAAACAATGTGGAGAAGGAAACAATGGGACTGAGGGTTGGGGGGGGCATAGGAGGAGAGGGGGAAGGAAGTGGTGTTAACCAACCCAAGGACAAGGGAACAACAGTGATCCAAAATCAGTGGCGAGGAGGGTGTAAGAAGCCCGGTAGGGCTTGATCAAGGGTAATGTAGCCAAGAGGAAATACTGAAACCCAAATGAAGGCTGAGCATGATGGTGGGACAAGAGGAAAGTAAAAGGAAATAGAGGAAAGAACTAGGAGGCTGCACATATGTAAATATATTTACATATGATGATGGGGAAATAGATCTATGTGCATATATTTATAGGTTTAGTATGAAGGTAACAGATGGACATTGGGCCTCCACTCAAGTACTCCCTCAATACAAGAATACTTTGTTCTATTAAACTGACCCATGATGCTCACCTTCCTGACACAATCACTGAAGAAAAATGTGTGCATAAGCAAATGTGGTGAAGAAAGCTGAAGGAGCCTAGCTATCAAAAGATATAATGCCTGGGGTCTTAATGGCTTGAAGGTAAATAAGTGGCCATCTAGCTCAGAAGCAACAAAGCCCACATAAAAGAAGCACACCAACCTGTGTGATCACAAGGTATTGAAGTGATCAGGTAGCAGACATCAAAGCACAAAAAAATCATCATTGTGTGCTCACTTTCCCCATATGAACGCTGAAGACAAATGTGTGCATAAGCAAATGTAGTGCCCGGCTATCGAGAGATATAGCATCTGGGGTCTTAAAGGCTTGAAGGTAAACAAGTAGCCATCTAGCCCAGAAGCAACAAAACCCACATGGAAGAAGCACACCTGCCTGTGTGATCACGAGGTGTCGAAGGGATCAGGTATCAAGCACCAAAGAACAAAAAATCATATCATTGTGAATGAGGAGGAGTTAAGGGTGGGGACCCAATGCCCATCTGTAGGCAACTGGACATCCCTTTATGGAAAGGTCTCCGGGAGGAGACAAGTCAGTCAGGGTGCAGTGTAGCAATGATGAAACACACAAGTTTCCTCTAGTTCTTAAATGCTTTACACACACACACACACACACACACACACACACACACACACACACAATTGTGATCCCAATTCTACCTTACAAACCTGGCTAGACCAGAGGATGTACAGTGGTGCACATAGGAACTGGAAACACAGGGAATCCAGGACAGATGAATCCCTCAGGACCAGTGGTGAGACAGGCAATACCGGGAGGGTGGAGGGTAGGTGGGGTAGAAAGCAAGGACCCATTACAAGGATCTACATATAACCTCCTCCCTGGGGGACGGACAACGGAGAAGTGGGTGAAGGGAGATGTTGGACAGTGTAAGATATGACAAAATAATAATAATTTATAAATTATCAAGGGTTCGTGAGGAACGGGGGTGGCTGGGAGGGAGGGGAAAAATGAGCTGATACCAAGAGCTCAAGTGGAAAGCAAATGTATTGAGAATGATGAGGGCAACAAATGTACAAATGTACTTGACACAATGGATGTATATATGGATTGTGATAAGAGTTGTACAAGCCCCCAATAAAATGATTTAGAAAAAAAAATCAATTTCCCAGGAACCTCATCTGCTCTGGAACAGTTCTTTTCTGTACCATTAATCTGACCATTGCATCATATTTTCATTAGGCCTGAAGGTGGTTTCCCACCCTCTTTTGGATCAAGTCCAAGATCACACTCCTTTCCCTGTCTGGGGAGACCTGGTGGTATAGTGGTTATGCATTGGGCTGCTAATCACAAGATTAGCATTTCGAAACCAACATTTTTCTCCTAAGGAGCAGCTGATGGGTTCAAACAGCAGGCAACATTTAACCCACTGGAGTTTCCCCAGTTTTTGGAATTTGTTCTCCAGAGCACACTGAACTGACAAGTTATACTAATCAGATGACACTGGGTGGGGCTGGTCAGGACAGAAAGACCCACCAGCTGATATCAACTCCATTCAGGGCTTGGAAGATAGAGTTCAAAGACATGGGCAGCGATCCAATCAATCATGCTTATGTAATGAAACCCCATGAAACTCTGGCCGCTGAGAGTTTCCTGGTTGGTGAAAGACATCTGTGCTTGGGAGGGTGATATGTACCTTTTTGGAACATGGAAGGTTCATACTGGGGACTTCCCAGATCTTATCCTGTATCTCTTTAGATCTATCTTTTTAGCTGCCATAAAACTAGAATCATAAACAAGAGTGCTTGCTAGAGTTCTGTGAGTCATTCTATCAGATTCTCAAGCTTCAGGCATCATGGGAATCCCTGAATTTATAGCCAGCAGATCAGAAATAAGGAAACCAGAGGGACCTCTAAGCTGTGGGGGCATCTTGAATAAACTTGGTGATCTAGAGGGCTGCCCTTTAACTTGTGTGAGAATTGACCTGTCTCTGGTGGTTAGGGCCAGAGGTAGAAAGAAGCATTTGCAATTGGTGTCAGAGAGGATAGTTAAAGTTGGCTTCAGAGAAAGGGACTCAATAGACATCTACTAGACAGGTGGAAGGGGCCCTGGCAGCACTGTAGGCTAGGCACTTGACTGCTAACTCTCTCTAACATTGCAGGTTCAAACTTACCAGCTGTTCTGTGGGAGAAAGAAGAGGCTGTCTGCTCCTATAAAGATTTATAAGCTTGGAAACTTTATACAAGGTACTATGAATTGGAGTCTATTCAGTAGCAACCAGTTTTGTTGGTTGGTTGAATATGCTGGAAAATTTCTTTTCCAACCTGGGAACATGAAATCTAATCATGCATATATATTTTTTTCCCTGACATTTCTTAAAAGGAAACTTTAGAGAGGAAAACATACTTAGCTTTCTATTCGTGGCATTTTTACCATCTTTGCTATGATTTAAAAAATAGCTTATGTTAAAAATACTTGAAGTAGATTTTTACTTTCTATGCAGTCTGTTTTTGTTGTTGAGGATGATTTTAGATTTTGGAGGGTTTTTTGGTCTCTGAAAATGTATGCAGGAAAGAAAATGCTCTTCCCATGAATGGTCAAAAAAAATTCTGAGGTTTTGGCTTCTGATTGAAAATTAAGGATTTAATAAAGAATCGTTAGAAGTTGATCATGTAGCCAATAGGTAGCTACTTGGTTTGAAAAATCCTAGATCACATGAGATACTCAAGGAAGATTTATGATGCCACAAAGCCATGACCCAAAGTTTGGTTTCCTTGTCATACAAGTATGTGCCACCTGCTAGCTCATTAACTGATAATGACAGTATTTATTGAAGGTTACGAATCTCCAAGTGCTGTATTAGGTGCTAGGGATTCCAAAGCAAACAATGCTATATATTACTCACACAAATACATCCCCAATAGATTATAGACTCAGTGGTGTAAAGTAAAATAACACATATCTTAAAGGATAGTTAAGTGGCCATCTTGAACTCAGAGTAGGCAAACATTTAAAAAGAGAATGCAAAAGGGAAAAGCAATGGATAAAGATAGAGAAATGACATCATATTAAGAGATTTGCTTTGCCAAAGGACATGAAAAATAGTGCAAAGGTAGTGAAGAGATTAAAGATATTTTCTATTTGTGTATTCGATAAAAACACAGACTCATATAAATCAAAGAAAGAACCACACTATAAAAATGGGTAAAATGACTGAATGAGAACTTCCCAAAAGAAGAGATCTAAAAGGTCAATGAATGTTGTAAAAATGTGCTCTATGCCATTGGTCACCAGATAAATGCTAATTAAAATCACAATGAATACTGGTACGTATGCACCAACCCACCCACCAAATCCACTGCCAACCAGTTGATTCTAACTCCTATGACCTCTCTGAGAGGGAGAGGAAATGCTCCTTAGGATTCCCAAGATTGTAAATCTTTACCCATGAAGTGACTGGTGCGTTTAAAGGGCTAATGGTAGCTATCATCCCAATGCCTAACCCACCATGCTACTGGAGCTTCTAATACATGCATGAGCATTGCTAACATGAAAAGACAAAGTACACTAAGGTCTGGTAAGGAGATAGAGTAAGCAGCACTATCACACCTTATTCATGGGTGTATAAATTCATATTCTGGAAACCACTTTGGAAAACTGGTTGGGATTAACCAATTGCTGAAAAAAATGCTTAATTTTTACCTAGAAATATCATCCTAAGTAGATATCCACACGCGACAGAAAGTGTACAGGCAATACATGAAAGTAATGTTAATGAAGTGGGGGGGTCGGTGGGAAGGAAATGGAGACATAAAGGACAGATTTTTTTTGAGGAATCTGACTCTTTTTATGGTGAGAGAGAGATAACTAACAAACGAGGAACTGGTGGATAAGATGGGACTTTTGTAGGAGAGATATGATCTAAAGCTAGGACTTAAACATACAGAATAATTTATAATTAATTGATAAAACTCCCAAATAAGAACAAGAGTTTAGTTTCAAAAATATAGATAGAACTTCAAGTAAATAGGCAAAACTACATGCCCACCCTCCTCTAGCTTCAGGAAAAATATGAAAATTAATATAGATGTGAACAAGTTATGCTTTGGGTAGATGTGTGTTGGGAGAGTTTGAATGGCTTTATGCAGTAAGATGAACAAAAGGTAAACTTGGGGTTGAAAAAGTGGTGAAAGGGGGAAAGAAGTGATGGGGAAGACAACATCACTGAGCGTCATTTATGATTCAGCTGCTGTGTGAGACCATGTGTCTGCAAGGCAATCAACTTTACTCCCACATGCTCGACTCTAGGTTTCCTCAAAGGTGGATTGCAGGGCTAGTCAGAGGAGGTAGAGGGTTATATGGACCCACTGTTACGGATTTCCAGTGGGAATTCTACAAAAGGACAGGCGAGCTACACGTTATGGCAAAAGGAATGAAGAGCTGATTTATGACAACTGGGTTAGGTAGGAAAGGGTCAGAAATAAGAAGAGAGGTGAAAGGCCTGTAGCAAACAGAGCATTTGAGAAACTAAATGTGTAATAAGAAGGTATACAGGACCCGAGGAAATGGACTGGATAGAAGAAATAGTGGTGGTGGCCTATGTTTCACATAATAAGAAGGCCTAGAGGAAAGTGTGAGGCCAAAGGGTGAAGGAACTTTACAACCGGGCTATTATCTAGATCATTCTCGTGGAAACCTGTAGGAGGATGGCAGGGGCAGGGCTGGAGAGAAAACCCAGGGAAAAGACACTAAAGTTCTCAATTGAATTAGGGAGAGTGACTAAGTGATTAAAATAAAGAGTCACAGAGTTCGAAGCAGGAGGCAGGAGCCTGGGGAGGGAGTGCTTTTACATGTGAACAAAATAGGACAACTTTGGAGGAAATGCAGAGCAAAGAAAGAATGCAGAATCTAGCACTTGGTTTGAGAACTGAAAAATGTCAGAGGAAACAAGAGGCTGAAATCCAAGTGGTCTGTCATCCTCAAGAATTCTCCAATGCTGTCCCACAATCGTGCTAGCCCAGCATTCAGCACAAGACAAAGGCAGTCTGACTTCCAAGAATAGGCTACTAGGATGTCTTTAATTGAGCACCAGCTAAGGAAAAAGTATACAAAAGAAAGATCACATCACATGAAGCACATCGTCTCATGGGAAGAGTTGGAGGAAATTAAGCTAGGTGAAGCTAGCCAATCACAAAAGGACAAGTCCAACATGAGTCCCCTGAGGAAAGTATAATCAACACAGTAGGTACGGAAGAAAAGCCACTTATCTCACACTTTATGGGTTGAGGTACAGGCAATCCAGCGGGGACAGACCAAACCCAAGGATACACAAACCCAACTCCAACACAAAGAAGGGGAAATGGGAGGGAGGGGCATAAGGAGATAAGGGGGGGCAGAGGCCATGGCCCTGGGAGAGTAGGGGATTAATCCACCCAGGGGGAGGGCATTGTTCATGTCTCCACAGATATGGGAATGTGAGTACAGACCCCACCAAACCTTGAGAGCAATGTAACCACCACATGGAGCAATACATGAACAGAGAGGTCTTCAGAGCTGGCCCCAATCAGAGCCAAAGTGGCATCCCCCCTCCCCCCACCCCTCACCCAAAGTTTGTGCTACAGAGGACAGCACTAAACCTACAGGTTGGGGAGGGGGGCTGGCTTGCCATTTCCCATACAGAAACAAACCAAGAAAGAAAAAGAGCTAGGGACTAGACCCCACACTGACTCACCAAGCCCTGTGGATGACCACCCTGCACGGAGCTGCTAAGGCACAGAGAGGACTGTAGGGCCGACAACAGCTGGAGACATGATGTCCCCTCACTGGAGCACAAGAGAGGACAATACTAGGGACACATGGTGGAGAGTGAGTCTGGTCTGAACCCCCCACAGTGGGGCGAACCAAGAAGGGAACATAACAGATTAGCCATGGGAGCAAGGCCAAGCCACAAAACCCCTGAGGAGCCCCCAAAATAGACTTCAGGCTAGAAGGGTTAGTCCCTGGAACTCCCAGGACTAGTGGGGAGAGTCATAAAGGTCAGTGGACAGGCCTGGAATTATGTATGCTTTTTTGTGTTTTTCTTTCTTTCTTATTCTCTTTTTATTCAATCTTTTGTTTTGTCTCTGTTATTGTTGTTTTGCCGAACTATATAAGATAGTCATGGGAAGCAAGTCCAAGGAGAAAGCAACTGGACTGGCGTCCCGGAGGGACTTGAGAGGAGGAGGAGGCGCAGGAAGGCAGAGAGCAAACAATTCCATAGACAAGGGAACAACTAGGGAATTGAAAGCAACAATGTGGAGGATGTAGAGATCCTGGTGGTGTTGAAGCAAGAGCAATCTAGCTGAGAGGAATTACTAAGAGGCAGAAGAAGGGCAAGTGTGATGATGGGAAAGGAGGAAGGTAAAAGGAAACAAAGGAAAGATCTAGGAAGCAAAGCTATGGATAGAGGTATAAACATATTTTATGTAAATATATTAATTCATAAAAATAGAGATATTGGCCTAGGAACATATATTTATATGGCAATACATTGAGGAAGTGGATGGTCTTTGGGCCTCTGTTCAAGCCTTCCCTCAATGCAAGAACACTTTGTTCTAATAACTTGGTATTCTGTGATGCTCACCTTCCCAACAGATCGCTGGAGACAAATGGGTGCACAAGCCAATGTAGTGAAGAAAGCCAATGGTGCCTGGGTATCAAAAGATATAGTGTCTGGGGTCTTAATGGCTTGAAGTTAAACAAGCGGCCATTTAGCAGAGAAGCCACAAGCCCACATGAAAGAAGCACAGCAGCCTGTGCGATCATGAGGTGTTGACAGAATCAGGCAACAGCCACCAAAAGACCCAAAACAGCACCAACAAAAACATATTGTTGAGAATGAGGGGGCTCTGAGAAGAGACCGAAAACCCATCTGTTGACAATAGGACATCCCCTCACAGAAGGGTCGTAAGAAAGGGATGAGTCAACCAGGGAGCAGTATAGCACCAATGAAACACAGACTATTTCTCTGGTTCTTTGAGGCTTCCTCACCCCCCACTATCATGACCTCAGTCCTGCCTTTCAGTTCTGGCTAGACTGGCACATGTACAGGTTAGAGATAAGAGCTCAGGACACTTGGAATCCAGGTCAGATAAACCCCCCAGGAACAGAAATGGGAGTAGTGATACCAGGAGAGTAGGGGGAAGGAGGGGAAGAAGGGGAAACCATTTGCAATGATTGATGCATAACACCCACCCCCCCCCCACCC